GTTTCATTCATTTGCCTCCGAATTTCAAGATTTGTTTGTTTGTTTTCTGCCAAGTAGTACTCCATTGTGTAAAGGCACCACATTTTCTTTGTTCATTCTTCAGTTGAGGGGCATCTAGGTTGCTTCCAGGTTCTGGCTATTACAAACAATGCTGCTATGAATGTAGTTGAACAGATGCCATTGTGGTATGAATGTGTATCCTTTGGGTATATGTCTAAGAGTGAAATTGCTGGATCTTGTGGTAGCCTGATTGTCATTTTCCTGAGAAACCACTATACTGACTTCCAAAGTGGCCATACAAGTTTGCATTCCCACCAGCAATGGATGAGTGTTCCCCTTTCTCCACATCCTCTCCAGTATAAACTGTCATCAGTGTTTTTGATTTAGCCGTTCTGACAGGAGTAAGATGGTATCTCAGAGTTATTTTGATTTCCATTTCCCTGATGGCTAAGGATGTTGAGCAATTTCTTAAGTCTCTTTTGGCCATTTGAGATTCCTCTGTTGAGAATTGTCTATTTAATTCTGTACCCCCACTTTTTAATTGGATGATTGGTGTTTTTTCTGACTAGTTTCTTGAGTTCTTTGTATATTTTGGAGATCATTCCTCTGTCAGATGTAGAGTTGGTGCTTTATTTCTGTTTTTCCTCATAGCAAATTTATGAAATCACTATATCCACAAGAAGTGTAGCTCTCATCCCTCATCAAGGAACTTTCAATTTGTAGAGGATACAGACAACAATTGGTTGAAAATGCAGATACCAATTGACCATGAGATGCCAAATCCCTAATGATAAATCTAAAACACAATCCCTACACCTAGGGCTTAGCGAACATCATGGAAGAGAGGGTGGAAAGACTGTAAGAATCGGAGGAATTAAAAATCTGCTGGGATATTGTGTCTCCTAGAGATGACAAAGAAGTTTCACCCATGTTACCTTAACAACACGGCTGCCTGAACAAGACATGGACAAGTACAGCAGCAATAGATATACTACTGTGAAAGGGGGAAAGTACCATGGGTTCCACTCTCCCAGAAAGAGCTATAGGCAATTAATGATTGCTGACAGATACAATTAGTCTTCCCCAGGGGTGAGCCTCATCATTGAATTGTATATATCAAGCAGCAGTCAACCATTACAATACAAATACACCAACTCAACTCTAAGTCAACTCAGCTGGTTGTATCTATTGATATATAGACACATACACACATATACACATATTGTGTAATGTTCAGAGAGGTATAATCAAGACTTCTGTGATGCAATAACATTCAACTATTTGATCAAAAGTATATTAATTCAGTTTGTAAAATTAATCACATTATCCTTTTAAAATATATGGTAGTAAGGTTATATATTTTATAGATCAATTAAATGCTTATTTAAAAATCAATTGTACAGGTTTCTGACTCACATTACACCTGTATTGTGATTCTCTGGAAAAGAATTCTGTGAATGGACTTCAGGAGTCCATTTCCCACAGAGGGATACTCACTTAGCCCAGATACACAGGACTAACAAACAGATGACTTAACAGATTTTGATGATCCCTCATGGAAGGCCCCACTCTCCCTGGGGAGTGGATGGGGGATGAGATGGGGAGTTGAGGGGCATGGGAAGATGGGAGGGAGAGAGAACTGGGATTGATATGTAAAATAAGATTGTTTCTAATTTAAATAAAATCTATAAAAGGTCAAAAACAAAACAAACAAACAAAACAACAACTAAAAAAAAATTCTGCAACTAAGTAATGTGATTAGAGATCCTGTACACTATTGTTAATTTTCACCACTTGAATTTGCATGCATTCTCAGGAAGCCTAAGGAAAATTAAGTGACACCAAGAAACTGATTTTAAAAGTGCAGAATGTGGCTTCTGATTTTATTGATTATTTTGTTTTTGTGTTCTTATATCTGACCAGTCTGTATAAATGTTCAGCAAACACTAGAGAGATGGGCCTATTCTGCAATGTGTTGATTTTACTATATATCTATTAGATAAATTCTTAAGAAATAAAAAATGTGGAGAAGTGCTTTGTTCTGGATGATTGGAGACTCCCAGTGTCTGGAGATTCTAGTTTATGTGTGCAAGCTTTCAAACTCAAGCTAACTAAAATGCTTCCTTGAGATTGAGCTAACTTTCTTGGGACAGAATACCTTTTAGAAGGATGCCAGTTTGCCCACTGAATGGCCAAGTAATTATTCAGCTGAGGTTTGGATGGAAGCCACATCAATGTCACAGTGTCTCAGCACATGTGAGGAAAGTGCGTGTGGTACACAGCAAATTATGTGCCTCATTCTGAGCGGATGGGATGAGATTGACTCCCCGCCACTTCCAGCAATGTGCTTTCGATGTCAGCTGCATCTTTAAGAAGATTGTTGGAGAGCCTCGACACAGATGTTTCTTTAATAAACTCTTGTGGGAGAATGGCATCTTGTAAAAAAATGGGTGACTACTCTTTTTTTTTTCTTCTTTTTGGGAAACAAAGCATGCCCACAATCTTGGCCAAATGCTCTCAAGGAATGATCTCCATTTATACCACAATAGAATTAAGGATTGTGGCATTTGCAAAGTTGATTTTAGAACCTTGTTGGTAAATAGAATGTGTGGAGGAATTTGTTCAGCTTACTTAGCCTTGAGGAGGTTTTGTAAGACTTGTTATGGAGGAGGGTAGATACCAGCCCATTATTTGTTATAACAAATTTAAAAATGTTTGCAAAATTTTAGTTAATTGTTCACTGTGTTTTGAAATGATTACTCTTTGACTTCATACAAAGGACTAAATCATGAGAAAGTAATTCTTTGAATTCAGGCATTTTTACTAATAAGATGAAATTTATGATGAAATTGTATGTTGAAATATTCTGGCTACAATGTCTTTGAGAAATTAAGTTTATCACTTCTGTTTGGTATCATTTTTGATGAAAATTTGGAGGATGAATGCAAGCATTCTGTATTTCAGTATGTTCCTGCTGAAGAAAAACACAGTTACTATAGCAATTGCAGCATCATAAGGGATGCAAATAACAGAAAGAATGTCTTACAGAAAGCACTCTATCTACATGTCATATTAATTCTTTTAGTTCACAGTGTGTATGAGTAAAAATTTTCTGTTGCTGGATAGTTAGCATTTCACTATTTATTAAATGTTACATTCAGCCTTAAATATTCCAAATATCCTGCAGAAAATTTGTGTTTTCAATGCACATGAGCACTGTGGGTCACGTAAAATAACACTCTGCCAACTTGGATGCTGGGGGTAAAAAGGTGATGGCCTGTTTTAAGTGGGCTGGCAGTATTGTGAAGTTCATATGGCAATTCAATGGTCTATACTATTTTGGAGGGCAAGAAAAATTTATTATAGCAGTCATGCTTGCTTGATCAAAACACTTTTTCTTCTTTTTCCAAGTTACAAATTAAGCTTTAAATGTTTATTGCTTCATTGAAATGTTTAAATATTTTAGTAGAGTTTAATTTACTTTGATGACAAGAAAGTAAAAATTCTTTAATTCAATACAAATGAGTGAAAAACATGATAAAATGTCTTAATTGATAAAGGTAAGTTTCAAAATTGTATTTTCTTAAAATGGAGAATAATCACCAAGCCGTATACTCATTATGAGATCTGGCGTTATCCATCTCAGAATTAAGCTGATGTCATGGAGCTTGTCTGCACAGTTGCACTGAAATACTGTTTTATGCTTTTCACATTTTGAATCTGTGTCAAAAGTGTAAGAATCTGAAGACATTTCTTCCCAAATTGTGCTTTTGAAATTACTACAATTTTTGAAGTAGGAGTGTTCTTTGGAAGTTTTGCTAGATAACAGTTTCCTTGTACTGCCGTGAAAACAGCCTCAGCTTAAAAATCAATCTTCCCTTGAATATTCTAGATCTATAAGACTTAAGAACTCAAAAAACTGAACATCAACAAATAAATAACCCAATTAAAATCAAGATACAGATCTAAACATAATTCTCAAAAAAGGGAAACTCAAATGGCTGAAAAACACTTAAATGTTTAATAGTCTTAGACATCTGGTGAATAAAAATCAAAACAACTCTGATATTTCATCTTACACCAGTCAGGATGGCCAAGATCAATAATGTAAGTGACAGTTCAAGATGGTGAGATGTAAAGTAAGGGGAACACTCAGCAATTCCTGGTTAGACCTCAGATTTGTACAGCTACTATGGAAACCAGTGTGGCAGCACTGAGAAAGATGGGAATCAATCTACCTCAAGATCCTGGGCATGTAACCAAAGGATCCTTCTTCATACAACATGGCTGAACCCTTGCTCAGCCATGATCATTGCAGCTCTATTCATAATTGACAGAAATTGGAGACAACTTAGAAGTATATCAACATATAAAGGGATAAAGAAAGTGGTATAATTGGATATTATTCATCTGTTAAAAATGATCACCCTCTCTGAGGAGTGGATGGAGGGTAGAGTGGAGAGAAGGTGTGAAGAGTGAGAGGACAGGAGGGAGAGGAACTGAGATTGGTATGTAAAATAAGATTATTTTAAAAATAAAAATAATGAAATTCATAGGTAAATGTATGGAGTTAGAAAAAATCATCCTAAATCAGGTAACCAAGAGGCAGAAAGACAAATATGTATGTACTCACTGAAGTGTAGATGTTAGCTGTTATGTCTTTGATAAGCAAGCTAAATCCACAAATCATAAAGGTTGGATATAGAGTAAGGGATTAGGGAGGAGGGATGGATCTCCTTAGGAAGGGGAAATAGAAGAGAGTTAAGGATGGATGAAGAGGAAGACTGGAATGGGAAAACAAAGTTGGGGGAGAGAAGAGAGGGTGATAGAGTAATACAGTAAGGATCAGCCAAAACTAAGGACCATTTGAGGGGTCATAGAGAAACCTAATAGTGTAGAAGATTCCTGAAATATATTCATATATGAAAGCTATCTACAGAAAATTGTCAAATAACCATAGAAACAGAGTCCCAGCTGTATATCTCTCACCACCAGATGAAGTTTTTGTACATAGAATGGGTTACATCTAATCCAGTTGTTCTACAAAACAGTCCCATTGGAACCCTCAATCAAGCCAGGATATTTCCAAGGATACTGTTTGCTCTCTACAAACTGCAGGTAAGGTCATATGGCTGAAGACAACACCTATAGAACTCACTGAATATGGAGAAGTTGAGGCGCTGCCTGCATAGAACCATTATTCTAACAGACTAATTAGTGTTCATGATACTGAAAGATACTATTCACGATACCAAAGGAGAAAGGTAAACACCAACTGAGCTACAAACACGTCAATCTACAATGGTGACTTGCTTGCAGACATGCTACTATAGCAGTGTCACAAAGCTTGTGAGAGTAGCAACATATATATGATTTGATTTAAGGCCGACTGCATGAGGGGAAATCCATACCTGATGCTGATTGATAGACCAGGGAACTAGGATAAAACAAAATGCTAAAATAATGTAGCAATAAAATGACTTCTAATGACATTCTGCTATACTCATAGACCAGGGCCTTGCTCAGGCGTCATTGGAGAAGCTTCCTCCTGCAGTAGATGGGAAAAATGCAGAGACTCACAGTCAGACAAGGTGCAGACAGTGAGAGAGCTTGGAACCTTCACTCTTAAGTGGATGTCTTCATAAAATCCAATTTCACAAGGTTTAGGAAATTCTGTGGAAGAAGGGGTGGAAAGAATGCAAGAGCTAGAGGGGATTGAAGACACCGAGGAAACAAGTCCTTCTAAATCAACAGGATTGATGCACATATGAACTCAGAGACTAAGTAGCTACCCAGGGCCTGCACAGGTTTGCACCAGATTGGGTCTCAGCAAGGAGAGAAGTGGACATTTGTCCCTATCCCTAACACAGGTGTGATCTCCAACAGATAGCCAATTGTAAATGAAAAATTAGCTGTCTCCAAGGGAGACTTACTGAGGAAACAAACCACTCTTAAAGGTAGTCCTCATACCCAGTAGCGGGCGAACAACAGAAAATGAACTCAACAGCATCTTTCAAGATTCTTTGTCTCTTAATGTTATGTCATGACATTTAAAAAAATTTATATGTTCTTATAGCTTCTGATTTTATGTCTTTATGGGATTCCTATGTGCATCTATATGTGTTACTCATTCTTTTTCTTTGGCTCTTTTTCTTCTGTTTTTGTTTGTTTGTTTGTCTGTTTTGTTTTGTCCTATTCTGATTTGTTTTTATTTTATTTTATTACCATTCCTTAGATGCCTGTTTGTTTTCTACTGAGAAACAGAAAGGATGTGGAGCCTTTGGGAGAGGAAAAAGACACTGGAAATCTTGAGGAAGACTCAGGAATTGTGTGGAGGAAAGACTCAAGAACATTGGTGATAAATGTTATGCTCTAATCACTTGCAAAGGAATATGGATTACAAGTATAAGGATTACATTGCTTACATATACACTTACCAAAAGATTACAGTTTTGGAATCAAACAATGGGCTCTGTTAGTCTTGTGGTAACAATAAAATTCACCCAGGTGAAGGCAATCCATTTGCTTAGTGCAGTATTGTGAAGAAGGAGCTCTTGGGCCATATTAGACAGAGTGCAGAATGTTGCAATGTAAAGGGCTATGTTGGTGTAATTTTAAGTTTTATTTTCATGTTTGAATTTCTAAGGATTTCTGTTGATGCACAATGGGGAAAATATTCCAGTAAGTTAACTTTGGCATCTGTGTAGTGAATTAAGTTTCTAAGGACAACACTCAATTTTATCTGACAATGTTGATTATAGTTTTAATGTTCAAGTTAGTGGTCAATACGTGATAAGTAAGACTGCTTATGACTACCTCCCTGGTCATAATGGTGTCTGCCCATAGCATAAAGGCAGCCAAAGCTTCAAACCATTTATTTTATGTTCAGTACCTCTGAAGATTGATTAATGAAGTTAAAACAAGCTTCAGAGATGGTTGTGGATTAATTTTATATCAACCTCCATATCACTATGTCACTCAGTATAAGTGGGGATAATAACCTGGCCAGGAGTTACTCATTGAATGCCAGAAGGATGTACAGTCATTCCAGGTCCTGGACCCCCACAGAGTTCCACTGAATTTTTTTTTTTTACAAAATACTTCCATATTTCTATTTTTAAAGCTAAAAATATGGAAGACCTGAATGACATTGTCATGTTTCCTTCAAGACTTAAAAATAAATTCAATTTCATTGCTCAGCATGCCATTTTTATGTTTCAAAGAGAGTGCAAAAGTAGACCTCTGTGTATTTTAAATAATAAACAATATTCCATAGTAAAATACATTAGAAAATTTCAGCATTTTGGTGAATATGCTTACTGATTAATTTTTTCCTGTGTTTCATTTATTTCATAAGAAAAGTAACGTTTCAAAAATATGTGCTCCTTGACTGTGAGGAATGAGAAATGCATGCAAATGAAGAGAAATCATGTAGCAGCCTTTTGGTCTCATGAACCAAATGATGACTCTAAAGCAGTGGTTCTCAACCCATGAGTCATGATGCATATCAGATATTTATATTACAACTCATAACAGTAGCCAAATTATAGTTATAAAGTAGCAATGATATAGTTTTATGGTTGGCGGTGTCCTTATAACATGAGGAACTGTATTAAAGTGTTACAGCATTAGGAAGGTTGAGAACTACTGCTCTAAAAGCTATGGTGACTTGCTAAGATATTTGTCTGAGGTCTGGTGAAAATTGTGTTGGAAAATATCATTATGACAGGGAGATGTCTCACAAAAACACCACCTTTCTTTCAAGAAAATTTCCAGTAATGTGCCTATCACAGCATGGGAAGTTTATGGGAATCTTTTGTATTTGATGGTAGATAATACTGGATAAACGTGTCTAAATTGATTCTATGTGTTAGAAGTTTAACTAATTGCTATGTTCCCATCTGGATTTGCTTTCAAGTTCATGTTACTGTTGGACCCACTCCTATGTGAAAGTGACTTTCAATTGCTGATAAAGGCAAATGAGTTCAGGTGTCTGTCAGTGAAAGGATGATTTGGAAGCGCTCTAAATACAAGTGTTGCTATCTGATCTTCATCAGTCTTTGCTCTGTGGTAGGTATCACAAAGTATTTTACATGTATTTCTATGTATCAAATTCAGCTTTGTGAAAGAATTCTCCTCTTCCATTTCTCATCTTCCTCTTCTTTCCTCCTTCTCCCCTCCCTCCTGCTCTTCCTCATTCTTCTCCCAGCTGGACCAATAAACAGAGAATGCTACTTGATAGTGCACAGTAGACCAAACACCAAAGCTGCCTAAACTCGGAGCCAGAAAACTTCCCATAAATGATAGAATGGGAGAGATTGCTGGTTTTGTGGGTCAGCAGGTTTATCTCATAGCTAACTCAATTTTGTTTATGCAGTATGAAAGACTCATCAATTAAGAATAAAGCTTTGTATGGCATTATTGGTAAAAACAAACACCAGGGAGCATTTAGTCTGTTGAGTATCTCTGACTGACAGCTAATTTAAACCTACTATGGCTACAATATTTCTTAGGATTTTTAGAAGCCATGGTATGATATTCTGGGAGCCATCAAGATGAGTGAAACCTAAGCAGATAGCTAATTGAAAGTTTTGTGTTTTTTGCTGTCATTATCCTCTCCCCTCCCCTCCCCTTTCCTTTTCTTCCTAGTTCCCTCATCTTCCTTCTTTCCCTCCCTCCCTCCCTCCCTCATTGAAAATAGCTTCTTTCACACAATACATCCAGACCACAGTGTTCCCTCCCTCCAGCTTCCCTCCACCTTTCCTCTCTCCCAGATCTACCCCATGGGGAGAAGAGGATTTATCTCATCGTTTAGCTTACTGTCCATCACTGAGGGTAGTCAGGGCAAGAATTCAAGGTAGGACTGAAGCAGAAGCCGTGGGTGAAGGCAGCTTATTGACTTTCTCCTCATGGCTTGCTCAGTCAGCTTTCTTACACCACCCAGAACCTCCTTCCCAAGGGTGGCACAACCCTCCGTGGGCTGGATGCTCTCACATCAATCATCAATCAAGAATATCCCCTAAAGTCTTGCCTTCAGGTAATCTGAGGGGCATTTTCTTGAAATTACTCTTCCTAGATATGTCTAGTTTAGTGTTGAGTTGCCAATACCAACCAGCAAAACACCCAGTAAGAGTTGTCCATAGGTGCAAAGTGTAAGGCTGTCCACTGGAGCATGGGACCCCTACTAGCTGGTACATATTAAGGAGAATAATTCTCCCTCTCTCAGCACCCATTACCTGCCATATCTCCTAAGTAAGACGTGGGACCTGGAGAGCATCTCCCCATCTCTGCTAGAATTTTTGCTGCCTTGCACTGTGTAGGTAAGAACAGGTGCTCTGTATTCTTCAGTAAGATAGCCATGTTATCCAGAAAACAGCATTTCACAGCCTCTTCCCCAGTCTTTCTGTCTTTTCTTCTGAAATGTTCCCCGAGACTTCAGGGAGAAGGTTGATATTGAAGATGTCTGCTTTAAGGCTGTACATTCAGTTTCTTATTACCAGTGCTTTAATCATTTATACATGTTTGCATTGCCTGCTGCTCACTGCAAAAATAAGTTTCTGTGATGAAGACAGCAGTGTAAGTCTATGGCCATAAAAATAAATATCTAGAAGACAATTTGGCAACATGATCATTTATCAAAATAAAAATAGAAGGTTGTATCTTATGTCCTATGACTTCACTAGTCTTGGGATTTTAGCCAAGACTGCAGATCCTGGCATGAAATGTTCTCCAGTGGAGCAGACCTTAAATTCAGGCACAATGTGGTTAGTTAGCCCACAATAGTCATCAGCAGTGATGCACTGGTGGGCAAATGGTGCCTGGTAGATCAGTGCTGAAGCAGGAAGAGTGCAGACCATTGGTTTCTTTTCTTCTCCAGCTGCCTTCAAAGTGCTTTTCTGTACTGTGAAAGCTAGCCAGCAGGGATGAAGTTTCCTGGATGGCTTCAGACTGACTTCTTTGTAGCCAAAGTGATTTTAGTAGCGGGCTCTTATTATGTAGTTATGGTAGGTGACCAAGGGCAATGGCAATAGCTTTGGTGACCTTCCAGGTCCTCTATTACCACTAGTTGATAGGGAAATATGCCTTGAACTACAATTTTAATTGAATAAATTATGCATTATTGTGCATAATTTATTGTTTCTGCTTTGAGATGTCTGAAATTAATTTCTTGAGTTTTTCTGGTTTTACTTACTATTTTAAATTCACTTACTTCTTCTTTTAGTGGATATATTTAAAAAATGGTCAGGAGAGAACTAAGTCACAGTAGACTCCAGGTGTCATTTTCATCTGTAGTGTTGGTATTTAGAGCCAGTAACTTTATGACAGTCAGTCATCTTCTGAGAGTTAGGCAATATCCTGAGTAAGCTTGGGCCTCTTGCCTGGGTCTAAAGCTTGTGTTAAGTGTTGTAGCAATCCCTGTGTATGTGAGCTTTAATCCCAGGCAGTTCATACTTTCTTCTGAAGTACATAGCTTCTGATGATAGGAGTTGTGGAATTCTCTCCTTGCCTGTGGGTCTTACTCTGTATCATAGCCTCTCTCTACACTAAGTTCCACACTTGCATGGCTCCCAAGTGCCTATAGTCCTTTACCCTGGTTCAGTTCTCATTCTGACTCTAAGACTGCAGCTTGTACTGTCAACCATTGTTGTCTTGTATAATTATAGTATGCCTGTAGTTCTTACCACATTTCAGATGTTCTGAGTCATCAGTTTCCCATGCCAGCTTCTCCTAGTTGTAGTAGTCCCTATGTATCTACTATATCTTCATGTTTAAAAGGACGGTGGTTGATATTCAAAACACATTTGAATACAGGTCTTATTGTAAACAAAATAAATTAACATTTAATATAAATGGCTGATTTGTAGACCTCAACATCACCTGTAACTTAACCAAGTTTTCTTTCTTATCTTTTGTCTCTGGTGTTTTTGAGATTCAGGGTATGTGAAAAATACTGAGATTTTGGTATAGAAGAAATACAGCTCAAGAGTACAGAAAACATATTCAACAAAAATCATAGAAGAAAACTTTCCCAACCTAAAGAAAGACATGCCAATGAAAGTACAAGAAGCTTACCTATTATTCTTAGGTTTGGCCTTTTCATGGTGTCCATATTTCCTGGATATTTTGTGTTAGAGATTTGTTTAACTTGAGATTTTCTTTGGTCAATGACTGTATTTCCTCTAGTGAGTCTTCAAGACCTGAGATTCTCTCTTCCATCTCTTGTATTCTATTGGTTACACTTGCATCTGTAGTCCCTGATCTGATCATTTCCCAGCTTTTCTATTTCCAGCATTTCCTCATTCTGTGTGTTCTTTGTTGTTTCTATTTCAGATTTCTAACCTTGAACTGTTTGAATTGTTTCCTTTATTTGTTTGGTTGAGTTTTCTTGGCCTTCTTTGCATTCTTTAAGAGAATTGTTTATTTATTGAATTTTTTGGTTTGTCTTTTCCTCCATTTCTTTAAGGAATTTTCTTATTTCCACCTTTGAAGGTTTCTATAATCTTAATAAAGTTGCTTTTGAGGTCCTTCTCTTCTGCTTCATCTGTGTTGGGATGTTCAGGTCTTGCTCATGTGGAGTCCCTGTATTCTGGGGGTGTCATATTGATCCTCCTGTTGTTGAGTGTGTTCTTATACTGTTGTCTTCACATCTCTTCTTCCAGTGGGTGCAGGTGGGGTCTCTCCCTCTCCTCTTGTCTCCTGGTGGGCATAGTGAGCCATGACTTCAATGTCGGGAACTCTAGATAGTTCGGTCTCTCTGGTGTTCTCCTCACTCAAGTGGAGGGTAGAGGGTGTGGGGAGGGGAAAGACCGAGGTGTGGCCAGACTCTGGGTAGTCCATTTTGCTGGGGTGGTCCACTACACACAGAGTGTACACAGGAAGTTCCAAGGAGGGAATGGGGGGAGTTTGGCCTGAGTGGAACCCACACTCCCTCTTTGATAGTATTACTGTAGTTCTGCAGATCCTAAAGCTTATCTTGAGTGTTAATGAATGAATTGAAACTCTTGTAAGTGGTGGGAATAATAGAATCAGTGGAGCATGCGGAGGTAAGAAGATACATTTGAGAGAAAACAAGTGCATTAAAACTAAATATTATTGATTTATTAACATGATGCAGAAACTAATTACATGAATCTGAAAAAAACTGGAACAAATGTATTTCATGTGGCATCATAGTAGCTCAAGAATTACTATGGTCATTGTCAGTGCCACCCTCTATTAGGTCAAATTTACCAACTACTGATGATTATTTATCAAACATCTGTACTAGATTCAGGATGTAAAATGTGAATGACAAACAGATCTTTATAAGTAAGATCCTACAGTCTCTAGTTACGTTAGATATTGATATCTAAATGCTAAAGAAATTGTGATTTATTCTTCAAGTATGAAACATTAGAGGGCCTGTTGCAATGTGGGAACAAGAAAGACTTATTTGTAAACAATGAATTAATATTATCAAAGTTAAAGGTAAGATTAGGGGTGAATAGAGCACTTGCATTTGGGGAGAGCATTGAGTTTTTTGAGAGAACATGTGGCATTTGGGGATGTGACACAATTGTGGTCAAAACAGTAACTAAAAATGAAACTGGAGGTGACAATTGAGCCTAATCATCAGTAAAAAGATAAAATTGGAGGTGATGGATGGTTTCAGTGCACAATTCTACCAGAAATTTAAAGAACAGATAATACCAATTCTCCTCAAAGTATTCCACACAATAGAAGCAGAAGGGTCACTGCCAAACTCTTTTTACAAGGCTTCAATACCCTTGGTACACAAGCCACACAGACACAACTAAGAAAGAGAACTACAGACCAATATCCCTCATGAACATTGATGCAAAAATATGTAATAAAATATTGGCAAATTGAATCCAAGAACACATCAGAAAAATCATCCACCTTGATCAAGTAGGCTTCATCCAAGGGAGGCAAGAATTGTTCTATACATGAAAAATTCATCAGTGTAATCCACCATATAAACAAACTTCAAAACAAAAACCACATAATCATCCAACTAGATGCTGAAAAAACCTTTGACAGAATTCAACACCCCTTCAAGATAAAGGTAT